ATTAAAAAGGATACTATATTATTATATAAAGATAAATTCATTTTCAATAATTACTAACGATTAATCAAAAAAGGTATAAATATAAAAGGATATAGATTATTCTTTTATATTCTTTATTTTTTATTAATTAATTTATATTAGAATCTATAAAGAACTATCTTTATATTATTTTAATAATAGTATAAATTCAATTCTATATAAACTATATTCTAATTGTAGTACTGATATTATCCGGCCTATTCTTTACTTGTGATTCTTTATATATATCTTCAAAATTCTTATCTAATATCTATATCTAGATTATAAAAGAGTTAAAGAACTTTCTTAGAATAAAATTATTATTAAACTAAAGAATTAAAGAATTATAGTATTGTATATTCGATTCATATATTAATACTTTACTAAGTATAGACTTATATAGAACCTTTATTCTATATATCTTATACATTTTAATTCTTTAGATTATTCTATTTCCTCGGAAATTCACTTTCTCTTATTAGATACTTTCCTATCATCTTTCCCGATCTTGTTTTTATCCATTACTGGTATCTGACCTCTTCTCAAACAACAACGATTTAACCTCTTTACTTGTCTATACACCCAAGTAATAATCTTGCATTAACTCATCGATCATGCCTTCTCAATGGAACCATAAGGCTGATAAGGATTTGTTGTTGGCGATTATTGAAGGAAACAACCTGAAGGCTATTGAATGGCCAATGATCTCTGAGAAGCTTCAGAAGAAGGGCTATTCCTTTACTAAAGAGGCTTGTCGGTATGTATAGGATTCTCCATCTTTTTGTTCTTTCTTATCAGTTTTATCTATTCCTTTAGTCATTTCGAACTTCATGGTCTTTGTTTGAGACTGAAGACTTTATCCCAATAAAGAAAAGATTTATTAAGGATTTATACAATAATCTTTGCCTTCTCATTTGATATTGTTTCAATATTATCACTCTTTCATTTGTGTTCTTGTTCGTTCGGCTGTTGCTGTCGCAACCATTTAAATTCATACACCCACGCAATCTTCATCTTTCTCGTACTACTATCACCCTTCTACTACCAATACTCTATCGAAGACTTGCATTCTCAGCAACTAATAAAAACCGCTCACAGACAGCATTTCCAGAAAATAAGAAAGGAATCTCGCACCGGCTCACCTTCTGTTTCCGTCAACACTACTCATGCTACCATTCCTACGAAGAAACGCAAGTCCAAGGCCGCTTCCTTTGAGGGTGGAGATGAGGATGAGGATGACGACGAAGAAACACCTTTGAAGATCAAATCCAAACGTGTCAAGAAGGAAAACGGTGATCAGTCAGCTACTCCACCGGGAGTCGAGGTCGAGGAATAGGTAATGCTCAATGACGATCAGTAAGTATTCCGATGTCCTCTTTAATAAGGTGTCTTTTTGAGAAAAGTAGAAGTTTGATGTTAATGATTCAGTAGTTTATATGACGCCGGATGTTGGATGGTCACCCTTTCAGCATTGATCATCCACTACTAATGATAATGGCGCGATTCTGACTGGGTTGTACAAATTTAGCATCGAGAATAGGTGGAGGAGTTACAGAGCAATGCATAGTCTAGTTTGAGTCCTCTTGAGGTCAGAGAGATAGACTCTTTTCTAATAAAAGAGCGTTTTAGCTTTCAAAAATCAAATTTTCTATAACTCATAGTTATTTCCTTAATATAATAGTAAATAAATTGTAAATAATAATAATAAACATACTTATATCCGCAAAAAGAAAAAAGAAAATATAATACTAGGTGGAGCTAATATAAGCTTTAGTAATATTAAGATTACGATATAAAGTATATAGTAGATATCTTTTAGTAATATATATAAATAGAAATATATATATATTTAAATATAAATAAGATTATATAAAGAGATTTTATATAATCTATTTAAAGTTATATATTAACTTATTAATATTTTAATATTCTTTTTAATAAAGAAATGAAATTAATAATCTTATAAATACTTTATAATATATATCTAAATTTTATTAACTTTTATAATAACATCTAATTATAGTATTTATATTTTTTGTAAAATTTAATACTTTATAGATAGCTTTTTATATTATAATATAAAAGTATTTAATATATATTTATTTCTTTATTTATAATAAGAATCTTTTCTAAATCTAAAATATATAAATCTATTCGATTAATTTTTATTATCTTTTATTCTTAGGTTTATATAATTTTAGGTTTTTTTTCTATTCCTAATTTCTTTAATATTAAAGAATGAAGAATATCAAAAGATAATATTTTATAAATATATTCATTATTATTAAGAATAGTATCTCTAGTGTATGATCACCTGGTATTCTGTCATTATATTGGGAAGCTAGGGCTGGGGAAACATAGAGTTGATTCAATTAAAAAGGTAGAAATTGATAAATTATAGGATAACTTATATAAAGCTATCTAATAACTCCTAATACAACCTAATACCGAATATATGACCCGACCCTGCTCAATACTCCTCTACAGAACATATCCATTCTTATTCAATAATATAACTACTTTTTCTTT